TATATTAGACACATCTGAAATACTCAGTAGCTGCATGTGGCTAGTGACTATTGCACTGGACAGTCTACATAACATTTCTGTCATTGCAGTGCTCTTGGACAACAATATTCTACCTAGATGGATGTACAAGACTATGTAAATTGACATAATTGGAAGCAGAATGTGTTACATGCTATAATAGTGGTAAATAAAATGCAGACTAAACAATTAATTTTAACTGGGATGGATTAGAGCAATCAGAATTAATGATGTGGTATTTGAGATGGACTTTGAAATGCATTTTTACATTATGCATGAAAGCATAGAGTGTATAATTTGTTTGAGGGAATAATTACCTTTGATTTGGTAGGGTATAAGAAAGGCAATAGAGAGATATAAGCCTATAAAAGTATTTTGGGGAAAGCCTTGCATGCCTTTATTCAGCAAACATTTGTGAAGTACCTGGGATATGCCTTTACTCAGCAAACATTTATGAATTACTGGCTGTGTCCAGGTAAGATAAAATTTCTGATGTCGTAACATTTAGTGCTACATTGTAATCCCTCCCTTCTACCCTTCCCCATCACCACCTCCTACTAGGCAACAACTTATCTGCTTTTGTCACTATAGATTAAATTCACATTTTCTAGAGTTTTGTATAAATGGAATTACATAGAATGTACTCTTTTTGATCTGGCTTCTTTCACTTAATGTAGTTATTTTGAGATTCATCCATGTTGTTGTATATATCAATGGTTAATTCCTTTTCGTTGCTGAGCAGTGTTCCATTGTATGAATATACTGTAATTTGTTTATCCATTCACCTGTTGATCAATATTTGGCTCATTTCAAAATTTTGGCTGTTACAAATAAATCTGTTGTGTACATTCATGTATGGGACTGGATATAGACATATGCTTTCATTTCTTTTGGGTAAATACTTAGGAGTGGAGTGGTTGGATCACCACACATTATTTTTTAGCAGCTTTATTAAGATATAATTCACTGCATTTGTTTTTATTTATTCAGTCAATTATCTCAGTGTGGACTCAAGGGTATTTTATACTTTGGGTTATAATCGAATACTACTTTATGTTCTTGCTCATGTTATTCCAGATTTGGCTATTGGAACCTCTTTCATTTGGCTTTTAGGCCTGTTTTCCATATACTCACCAGTGTGTTTGGGATTTTTTGTTTGTTTATTTTTTAGCATTTCCTCACTTTCTGGCACTATAATATGCTCTAGGCTCATCATGTATATTTTCTGCCCTAGTCCTAGAATCAGACACTTCTCCAAGGAGCCCTGGTTCCTTTTGTTGGAGAATGGTATTAGAATCCAAGATCCGAACACTAGGTGTGCTTGATATTACTGGGGTGTTGTTGCTTTGGGGCTCTCTTAGATCAAGAAAATATGTATATTAACCCATATATATTACACTTTTCTATATGTGACCATCTTACCTATATTGAGCTAAACATGACTTTGTACTGAATCTCTAATTCTAATCCATTATAATATGGCTCATTCTAGCCTCTTGCTTATCTTTAAACTCCCACTCCAACAGTGAGATACTTGGTTCCTACCATCTACCACCCATTTATTGTTCCATTTCAATACATATGTATAGCAGCATCAGAAGTGTTAACCCATATCCCTGTGGGAAACAACTTTATCAACTAGAGTACAGTGCTTATATGTAGTTCCTGTTACCCTTAGTCTTACAGATTCCACTCATTTTCAAATTTACTAAGGTCAGCACCTTTTCCCCCACTCCGTTGAGTGAAGTTGTTTCATATATTTATGATATAGTTAGATTCTTTTATCACAGTCTGCATTACATCCTGAGATCCCCTGACCTGCTGGATAGGTTTTCAAAATTTGCATACATTAAGGCACATTCTTTGCGCTGCAGAGTTCTGTGGGTTTTGACAAGTGTGTTGTGTCATATATTCACTCTTAGAGTATCGTACAGGATAGTTTCACCGCCCTGAAAACAAATTTCCTGTATTTCATTTATTCACTCCCCCTCCTCTGTAACCACTGATAATTACATTTATTTTTTAAAAGCTGATTATTAGTTTAATTCATTATATCAAATTCTTAATAAATTGCTGCTTTGTTCCTATTGCTATATTAACTTTTGGGGATGAGTCTGGAAGAGGAGATAGGAAAAATACTTTGTTCATAAGGAATGTGTGGTCTTATTTGGAAAAATAAGATGAATTTAGATGAAATAACTAAAAAACTGAAAGGACAGTATAAAAACAGGTGCTGGACTGTGGCGTGCAGTTGGAGAACTAAAGAAATGGAATTAAGAAGAGAACATTTAAGGCTGTGCTTAGGCAAAGCAGTTTATACGGAAGATATGAATCTTGACCAGGCACTTGAGGGAACTGTTAGATTTGAATGGGCCTGGTCCCTAATGTACAGTATGAATATAGTCTTAACAGAGGGGAATATAAACATGGATATGGGAGAGAGTTCAGTGTAGGAAGAAAACAGTGTTAAATAGTTTGAAGAAGTAAATACATTTGTAGATATCTCATATGGAAAATGATCATGTGAAATGTACATAGATCTTTAAAAATTATTTTTCTGCTGTCCCTCTGCCCCTTCCCCAGTAACATTTATGGTTTGAAAGTTAGAGAAATCAACAAATAATGAAGAAATTGTAAAATTTAAAAATAAATTTAGAATTTAAAAAAAAACTAAAATTTTAGGGTAAAAACTTGAAGATATTTTCCAATTCTATTTTCCTTACTTTTCTTTTTCCTTTTCTCTTCTTTTTTTTTAAACCTAGATGAGTTATCACCACCTTTCTCTGAACAACACAACAGGGAGCAAATTTTAATTGGCTTGGAAAAGTTTATTCAAAAAGAATATGATGGTATGTCGTAGGTTAAAAATTGCTTTTGTTACTATACTCACGTGGTTTTGAGTTTATTTAAAAAATGCTTATTGAATGTTATGTGTTAGGTACTATTTTAGTTACTGGGGGATACTGTGCTAATAAAAGAGGTGCCTTCATGAAACTTGTATTTCAGAGGGGGAGACAGGTAGTCGACTAACAAGTATATAATAGTATATCATCAAATAGTAAATGCTGTTAAGGTTCAGGAGCCAAAAATATTGAAGTGAATGGGGTATTATGATAGCTTTCTCTGATAAGGTGGCATTTTAGCAGAATCCTGAATAATATGAAGAAAAAAGTTATATGAATATCCAAGGAGAGAACATTGTAGAGAGAACAAGACTAGATTATGTCTGGCATGTTTGAAGACCAGCCAGGAGGTCAGTGTAGCTGGAGTGGAGTATTAGAGGTAGACTTTAATAGAAAAATGAGGTCAGAGAGGTGGCCTAGGGATTGAATCCTTAGGTAGAAGGACTTTGAATTTTATTTTGAGTGCCAAATGAGAAGCTTTTAGAAGGTTTTGAACCATTAAGTGACATGATTTGAGAGAACAGATTGTAGGGCTGTAAGAGTAGAAGCAAGCAGAACATTTAGGAGGCTATTGTATAAGTCCAGATGAGAGACAAAATAGTGATTTGGAGGAGTAGATGAGAAGTAGTCAGATTTGGGATATATTTTGAAGGTAGAGCCAACAGAATTTGCTGATACATTACATGTGAGAGAAAGAAAGAAATCAAGGATGGTTTCAAAGTTTTTGCTTTAAATAGTTGGGTGATGCTGTTCAACTGAGATGTCAAAGATAATAGGAGGAGCAGGCTTTTCTCATGGGAGTGAAGAATCAAGAGTTTCATAGCCAAATATTTAATAAGTAAGGATAAACAGTTGATTTATAATCAGAATGTATTTGTACTTTAAAAAAAATGATCTGTTATGCGATTCCATTTTTTATTATATTTGTTAGTATATAAAGTATTGACCAAATCTAAGTCTCCATTATATTTAAACTTGTGCTCATTTTTACTTGCTGTTGAGCGTAGCTTCTTTTATGCCTCTCAGTTTTCATTGAAATTTCAAGTAGGACATCAGAACTGGATGAGAGGATTAAGTTTTGAAAATACAGAATTTGTTATCTAAATATGTAATCTATGTAAGTATTAATAGGCCAGGCACCGTGGTACATGCCTGTTGTCCCAGCTACTCGAGAGGCTGACATAGGAGGATTGCTTGAGGCCAGAAGTTTGAGGCTGTTATAAGCTATTATTGCACCTGCCACTGCACTTCAGCTTGGACAAGATAGTAAGACCCTGTCTCCAAAAAAATTTTTTTAAAAGTAAAAAAAAAAAATCCAAACCTATTAAAACCATAGCTTGTTTGAAGTGGTAGCTGTTACTGAATGACACTCGAGTGTGAAGGGATAACCCTGTCATAATTTATATCAAGTGGATTAATCACTGTATTTTGGAAGAGAAGTAATTCTGTATGCTACAGTGCTATTTGTAAACCTACTTGAATTATGCCCTGAAATAACTAATTTATTTTTAAGAGTTCAGTCCCCAATATTGATCTTAACTATTGGTAGTGATGTTGAGAATGAATAAAAGTAGATGAATTTATGAGATAAGTCAGAAGAAACTAAAGATTTTAGTGATTGTTTGGATGTAGAGGTTGAGAGAGAAGTGTTAAGAATTGCACCTATATTTCTGATTTGGGGCAACTGGATGATGATACAATTTGCTGAGAATAGGGATTATGGAATAATAATAGGTTTGAGGTGAAGTTGATAGTTTAGCCATGTTGAATTTATGATGTTTATGGGAAAGTGGAAAAAGCAGTTGAGTATACCAGTGTGGGAACTTGGGCAAAAGATCTGGGCTTAAGACAAGTGTTTTAGAATTTCTCAGTGTATCTTCCAGTGGTAGGTAATTCAAACCATAGAAGTGGACAAGATCACCTTGTGGTAGATAATAGAAGACTCTTCTTCCCTGCTAATTATAAGACTTTTGACTTTTGTTTTCCTTTGCTCAGAAAAGGCAAGATTGTGCTTATTTGGCTCTTCTAAGAATGGATTTGGATTTCGTGATAGTGATCTGGATATTTGTATGACCCTGGAAGGCCATGAAAATGCAGAGGTAAGAGTTAGTGCTTGGAAAGGGATGTGGAAGTTTTATTTTCTCTCAATGATGAATCTGTTTTTATTTTTGTATGCAATATTGATAAAAAATGATGTCATTCTTTGTATAAATATATTAATAAAATAGCAGTGTTTGAAATATAAAAACATTAGCAGTATCAATTTAGAAGACATTCAAATCTTAAAATAAATAAATTTACTGTTTCAGTAATTTTATAATGTAAAAGCCATGTCATTGAGCATTACAAGTGCTCTGTAATGAATTTTGGGAAAAAGTTAATACACCATAAAGTTGGAATTTTTTCATGAGAACCAGTGAGAAGCTGGTGCTTCAGTTTTGTGGTAAACACTGATCTCACTTACTCTATCTTCCTGTATCTCTTCTGTTAGGTGATGTCTTTGTATCACTACAGATAGTAAATACAGATGGTCATCTAATTTATAAATGGGTTGCATTCTAACAGTTAATTGTAATTTTGGGCCACTTACACACAATTTTTTCCATAGAAGTAATGTTATAAATGATATTCTAGGACAGCTTTTAGAAACTCATTTTGGGTGGGAAGGGGAACTAACATTTACTGAGTTCCCAATATACACTTTTACATACATTATCTCATTTCATTCTTACAACCACCTTCGAGGTAGGTATTATTTCCCCCATTTTACAGATGAGGAAACTGAGGCTTTGAGAGATAAACTGACTTGCCCAAGCTCACACAGCTAGTAATTGTTGGAGCCGGGATTCGTACCCAGGTCTGTCTGACTCCAGAGTTATGCTCTTTCCATTGTATCTCACTGCCTCTCTGTAATTTTTTAACCCATAATGTAGCTGAATATAGTACTAATAGTATTGTAGAACCTAACCGCTACTTTCTGAAATTGAAAGCTTTCTGAGTTCCACCGTGAGATGCCAGGAGCAGACCTTCCCCCAGTGCAATTTCAGCAGTGAGAATGGGTACTACGCTTTCCTCCTCTGTGTACCAGGCCTTAATTGTGGGAATGAGATTGTCCAAGCTCCAGTGAAGAAAGGGACTGATTGGACAGGGAAGAAGTATCTGAGGCCTTCCTCGCAGCAACTAGAAAAGGAGGGGATTCTTGTAGATGTTCAGTCCTTTACCAGCATAGCTATTTGTATTTATGTTTCAAAATCAGGGACTGCTTGCAAGATTGGGGTGAGGCCAAGCTTCTGGCATCTGTAAGTGGTGTCAGTGTAGCCTCTGTTTCTTTATAAAAGAATTCAGCAGAATAGTATGCTTTGCTGAAATAGTTCTTTCAAAAGATGTTGAAATTGTTAGACCTGGAGTAAAGATGGCAGTGACACCAGGTGGATCTTTATTTCTGGCCCTAAGAAGTTGCTTCTGGTGTTACTATCTTCCTGTTCTATAAAAAAACTGAAAAGTTGCAAATATTTTATTTCTCCTTAACTTTTACTTAATGCTATTACATGGAAAGAGGCTGCACTTGTCCATTTTGAAGAGCAAGAATTGAGGGAGTAGGAGATGATTTTTTACCCAGGGAGGTTAGAATTTTAGGTAACGTCTATGTAAAATTTAATGATTAGACTTCTAATCTCTAAGGGTTTGTATATTACATATTATATAATCTGTGCCATTCATATGGGAAAGTTGAAATAATAAAAAAGAATAAATTATTTTCTTTCTGATGAGCCATAACTGAAACTTTAAAAATTTAGCATAATTATATCCTTGTATAATAAAAAGAAAAATTACCTCTTTTGTTCTTTTTATTGTGCATGAATTAGTAACTAATGATTTCCTTGAAATCCCCAAGTTAAGCTGCTATGGCTACTGCTATCTTGTAGCTAAAAGGAGCATGTCGGGGGATATGCAAAAGTGACTTACTAATCACCATTGGGATTGATGTTTATATCCTTCAGCTTAATCCAGTTAACTTATAATACCATTATCCTCCCTGTTCCTTGCATTATGATTATCATTATCATACCAACTTTCCTGTCTCTGGTTTTTAAAGAAGTAAGACATTTAAATTTGCAGAGGTAAGAATTTCCTTGGAGAAATGAGTGCTGGTAATAATAAGAGTATCTTTCTTTTCTTCATCAACTTAATAATAATAATAATAATAAATAGCTCACAGATTTAAAAGCTTATTTTGTGCCAGACATGCTGCTGAATGCTTTATATACATGTCTAATGTAATCCTCCCGACAACTCAATAGGGCAGGAATTTTTGATTATCTTGATTTTATAAAATATAGTGTGATGCTCAGAAGGGTGGGTTAAGGGTCTGGGCAGTCACACAGCTGGTCAATAAAGTATTGCCTTTAATCTTGATTCAAGATTTGAATCGAAGTTTGTCTAAATTCAGACAGAGCCTATGATCTTAATCACTATACTGCTTTGTCTTCACCAAACCCATCTCTAGTTGTTTATTTTCTTACTGAAAACCATATTATTCTCCTGTCTTTGTGCTTCTCAAACTTTAATTTGCATGTGAATTCCCTTGGGATCTTGTTAAATGCATATTTGGATTCAGTAGACTGGGGAGGGGCCTGAGATTCTGCATTTCTGTCAGGTTTCAGATTATGCTGATACTGTGGGTCTATGAACCACATACTTTAAGTAGCAAGGTAATGTAGAGCTTTATGGCTAGAAATTTCAAATGCTAGTATTGAACGCCTAGATTGAAGTAGAATTTGCACAAGGCCAAGTTGAGTCAGACAAACTTTATTATTTATTTGTTTTGTTTTTTAGAAATTAAATTGCAAGGAAATAATTGAAAATTTGGCAAAAATTCTTAAAAGACATCCAGGTATGAATCTTAAATATTAGCTTTAAAACAAAAGAAAATATTTTTTAACATCATGAAAATTATTTAACTTTCTGAAGTCTTTTATTTTTTTGAATAGGTTTAAGAAACATTTTGCCTATAACTACTGCCAAAGTGCCTATTGTAAAATTTGAACACAGAAGAAGTGGGTTAGAAGGAGATATCAGTTTATATAATACATTGGTAAGTTTCTTTTTTATAGGCCAGGTATAGTTTACACTTTTCATTTCAAAAGTTTACAAATTACTGACTATGGCTTTATGTTTAAAACTTTCAAATGTGAGCAGTATAAGGAAAAAGCATTTTTTCAGTCATCTTGATATTTCCTTTAGATTGAAGGTTAGTTTTTGACTCGTTAATAGGTATTTTATGTTTTACATTTATATATTTTTTATTTGGCTTGTATCTTTTTATCTGATTTTTAAGTTTGATTTTAAAAAGTTTGAAATGCTTTCAAATATGTAATTTTTTTTCAGGCTCAACATAACACAAGAATGCTAGCTACTTATGCAGCTATTGATCCTAGAGTGCAGTATTTGGGATATACCATGAAAGTGTTTGCTAAGGTATTTATGGAAAAGTTAATGATCTACTTTGTTATATTACTCATGATAATTAAAGTGAAACATACTGATGTCAGACTTGTGAAAAGTATTGTCTCAGTTTTGTTTACCTGAGCTTTAAAAAAAAGATAGTATTAGATGGGTTGAATTGATACCTATTGGGGTAGGGCGATTCTTAGTCTTTTTCCTATGTGTGCTCTATTCCCATGTTCAACTTACTATACTAGTCAGTTTCTCAGCAGTAAAATTTCTCAGTGCAGTGATGATTTTCATTCCCAGGCATGGGAGTTGGCATACCATTCTTTTTAAGAATTTCTGGGTTAGGAAATATTTTGGTTTAGTGATAAATTTTTCTGACAAGAAAACAAAACAATACCAATAAAACCTTATGCTTCTCCTATTATAACATTTGTTATAACATTGAATTCTGTTTTCTTGTTCTTCTGCTAAATGTGTAAACTACATGAGGGCAGGGACCTCTGTTTCTTTAGTTCATTGTAGTGTCTGCTTTTAGTAGCTGCTCAGCAAATACTGAATTTTATGAATGTGTTAGTGAAAGAATTTTAGTAGGGGAGAGACTTGATCAGATTTTCACTTCATAAAGCTTACTCTGTCCAATAGGAAAGCATATTTGTTTAGATATTCCTGTTTCTGGACAGAGAGTATCTTAGAAAAGAAAAGCTTGCAGGCACAAAAATACATATAAGACTTGATACAGCTACTTTTTAAGATTTACCTCATAAGATACCTCCAGCATGACAGTTTTGTTATAACTACTTGGAGTTTGGTAATGAAACTAAGTGGCTTGTGTCAGAGAAATCATCCCTTTTCCCTTTAAATATAGATATGAGCTAAATCCTTGCTCAAAGAGAGCAGTCTCTGAGGATTCATTTAGGTGGGTTTTTTTTAAATTTAAAATTACTCGAATATCCAACATATTCACGTCTTCAGAATTCAAAAGATCTAAAGGGGTCTGTGGTGGAAAATGGAACAGTCTCCCTTCCACACCCGTCTCCTAGCCAACCAGTGCCTCTTACTGAGGCAACTAGTGTTAAAAGTTTCTCTGTATCCTTCCAGAAATATACTAGTATAAGCAAATACTTAGATTTCCTGCCTCCTTTTTATTACAGATGTAAACACACTGAAAACATTGTTCTGTACTTTTTTTTACTTAGCAATAGATCTTGGAGATCATTTCATATTAGTATAAGAACTTTCTGTTCTTCTCTTTTTTTGTAAGAGACAGGGTCTCACTAGGTTGCCCAGGCTATCCTTGAACTCCTGGGCGTTCCTTGTTCTTTTTTAATGGCTGCATGCTATTACATTGTGTGGATGGTTCTCAATTTTTTAACCTGTGCTTTATTGATGAACCTAAAATTATTTCTGATTTTTGCTATTACAACAATGGTGCAATTTAAAAAACCTTCTTATTTAGTCATTTCACACATTTTTTGGCATGTTTGCAGAGCATATTATTTGAATAAAATTGCTAGGTTAAAGGAAACGTGCTTTTGTAGTTTTGATATTGCCAAACTGTTCTTCATAGAGTTTATACTAATTTATGCTCTCACCCACAATTTATGAGAGTGCCTTTTCCCCCCACACCTTGTATAAAAGTTTATTGAACTTTAGATAGTTGTCAGTTCAATGTGTTAAAAAACTTGATGTGGCAGAGTACTCAATATTTCTGTATGGAATAAGACCCTGAAGTTTTATTTTCAATATTATGGTTTTTTAGCGATGTGACATTGGAGATGCTTCCAGAGGAAGTTTATCTTCATATGCATATATTCTTATGGTGCTGTACTTTCTGCAGCAGAGAAAGCCACCTGTTATCCCAGTTCTACAAGAGGTAGGTGTTTAAGAAAACTACAAAGGAGTTTTTGTGAAAACATTGGATCTAAATACAGTGGATTTTGCTCACTTCATGTCATCATGAGAGATTTTTCCATTATTAGTGTCCTACATTTTCTCCTCCATTAATGCTATGATTAAACAATGAGCCTTGCTAGAAAATTTATTATGGGGGAATAAAGACTGCCAAAAGAATGTTAGGTGAATGGAACCATTGAAGATCTTTTGTAAGGTTTTTGAATTTTACAGTCTTAGAGTGCTGTGGATGATTGTGAAGTTCTTGTAGACTGCCATGAACCCATGTATTTTATAGTCTCTTAAGATGCAAGTATATAAGTTTCTTCTATCTAGAGTATTTTCTGTCTTCCTGCCTGGCCAAGAAGTTTGATTTATTCTTATGCATACTTTGGTCAACCTTGTGAATTTTGGTTGAGAACAAGCCCAAGGAAATTATTCCTCATCTCTTCTAAAGTCATGTTGATTACATTACATTAAACGTAAGAATGTGCATTAAAAGAAACAGATCATACTCATAGTCACTGAGAATTTTGTGACTCCTGAGGTACTTCATAGAGTCCTTTTGTGTAGCCAGTTTATATTCTCTGAAATAGGGGGAAAAGGGTTCTAAATCGTCCGTTTTTCCTGATTCTTGGTTCAAAGTGGATTTATAGGCATTAGGGAGAATCCACTTTTAATTTCTTAGAAGGGCGACTATTTTGAGGTAGGAGACAAGCATCAGAATTGTTTGGAAAATCATATATTCTGATTTCACATACAGTTTGATAGTCATGGCAATGAAGAAAGTCACGGCTGAGTGTGGTAGCTCATGCCTGTAATCCTAGCACTTTGGGAGGCCGAGGCGGGAGGATTGCTTGAGGCCCAGGAGTTCAAGACCAGCCTGGGCAACAGTGAGACCCTGTCTCTACAAAAAATAAAACATTAGCCGGGCGTGGTAGCATGCACCTGTAGTCCCATCTACTTAGGAGGCTGAGGCAGGAGGATCACTTGTGCCCAGGAGTTTGAGGTTGCAGTGAACTATGATAACTTCACTATACTCTAGTGGCCTGGGTGACAGAGCAAGACCCTGTCACAAAACAAACAAAAACAAAAAAAGGAGGCTGGGTGCAGTTGCTCATGCCTGTAATCCTAGCACTTTGGGGTTGAGGCAGGAGGATTGCTTGAGGCTAGGAGTTCAAGACCAGCCTGAGCAAAAGCCCATCTCTACCAGAAAAAAAAAAAAGAAAATCATGAAATAACAAGTCATATGGTAGGTGTTGGATGGCCTTAGTAAGTTTTAAAAACTTCTAATGAACACATGTGATTTTAGTAGTATTTCCTTCCCTCTTTTATGTAAACAGTATAAGGGAAATAAAAAAATTAAATATCCTTTCCTAACAGAAAATTTTAAATTGCTGAATCTATGTTGGGTGATATGTTTGTGTTTGTGCGTGGGTGTGTGTGTGTGTTTGTGTGTGTTTGTTTAAAGTCTTTCTTTTTTTAGAGCAGTTTTAAGTTCACAGCAAAATTGAGAGGAGGTACAGAGATTTCCCATATACTCTCCGTACCTACACATATATAGCTGGCCTGCCCTCATTATTAACCCCACTGGAGTGGTACATTTGTTAAAACTGATGAGCCTACATTGACACATTATAATCACCCAAAGTCCATAGTTTACATTAGGATTTACTCTTGGTGTTTTACATCCTATTTTCATTGGACAAGTATCCATCATTATAGTACCATATAGATAATTTTTCACTACTTTAGAAATCCTCTGTGTTCTGCCTAGTTATCATCTTCTCCCCTCAACCCCTGCTACCACCGTCTCCATAGTTTTGCCTTTTCCACAGTGTTGCATAATTGGAATCATACAGTATGTAGCCTGTTGGGATTGACTTACATCACTCAGTAATATGCATTTAACATTCCTCCATGTCTTTTCATGACTTGACAGTTCATTTCTTTTTAATGTTCAATGATATTTCATTGTGTGGATGTACCGTAGTTTATTTATCCATTTACCTACTGAGGGATATCTTGGTTGCTTCCAAAGTTTTGGCAATTATAAATATCTGTGTGCAGGTTTTTGTGTAGACATAGTTTTCAACTCTTTTGGGTAAATACCAAGGAGTTGGATTGGTGGATTGTATGTAAGAGTATGGTTAGTTTTGTGAGAAATTGCCAAACCGTCTTCCAACGTAGCTATACCATTTTGCATTCCCGGCAGCAATGAGCGAGAGTTCCTGTTGTTCCATGTCCTCTCTAGCATTTGGTAGTGTCAGTGTTTTTTATTTTGGCCATTCTGTTAGGTGTATAGTGGTATTTCATTGTTTTAATTGTATCTTCCTGTTGACATGACGTGGAGCATCTTTTCATGTGCTTATTTGCCATTTCTCTGTCATCTTTAGTGAGGTGTATGTTAAGGTCTTTGGCCCATTTTTTTAAGCAGGTTGTTTTCTTACTGCTGGTGAGTTTTAAGAGTTCTTTGTGTATTTTGGATAATAGTCCTTTATCAAATGTATCTTTTGCAAATACGTTGTCCCAGTCTGTGGCTTTTTTCATTCTCTTGACATTGTCTTTTGCAGAGGAGAAAATTTTAATTTTAGTGAAGTCTATCTTGTCAATTATTTCTTTTATAGATATTGTCTTTGGTGTTGTATCTAAAAAATCATTACTATAATCAAAGTTAACTAGATTTTCTCTTATGTTTTGTTTTTTTTATTTTTTATTTTTTATTTTTTTGAGACAGAGTCTCACTCTGTTGCCCGGGCTAGAGTGCCGTGGCATCAGCCTAGCTCACAGCAACCTCAAACTCCTGGGCTCAAGCGATCTTCCTGCCTCAGCCTCCCGAGTAGCTGGGACTACAGGCATGTGCCACCATGCCCGGCTAGTTTTTTCTATATATTTTTAGTTGTCCAATTAATTTCTTTCTATTTTTCGTAGAGACGGGTCTCGCTCTTGCTCAGGCTGGTTTCGAACTCCTGAGCTCAAACAATCCACCCACCTCGGCCTCCCAGAGAGCTAGGATTACAGGCATGAACCACCGCGCCCGGCCTTTATTTTTATTTTTTTACAACCCCTCCTTACTGTGAGAATTCTCTTATGTTGTCTTCTAGGAGTTTTCTACTTTTGTGTTTTACATTTAGGTCTATGATCCATTTTGAGATAATTTTTGTGAAGTGTGTAAGGTCTGTGTCCAGATTCATTTTTTTGCATGTGGATGTCCAGTTATTTCCACACCATTTGTTGAAAAGACTTACTGCTCCATTGTATTGTCTTTGCTCTTTTGTCATATATCAGTCTACTATATTTATGCGGGTCTATTTTTGGATTCTCTCTTCTGTTCCACTGATCTATTTATCTATTCTTTTACTAATATTTGATTATTATAGCTTTATAGTAAGTCTTGAAGTTGGATTGTTTCAGCCTTCCAACTTTGTTTTCCTTCAGTATCATGTTGGCTGTTCTGGGTCTTTTGCCTTTATATAAACTTTAGAATCAGTTTGTAAATATCCACAAAATAACTTGTGGGATTTTAATTGGAATTGCATTGAATCTGTAGATAAAGTTGGGAAGAACTGACATCTTGACAATACTAAGTCTTCCTATCCATGAAAATGGAATATCGGTCCATTTATTTAGTTCTTCTTTGATCATCAGAGTTTTATAGTTTTACTCATGTAGATCTTGTATGCATTTTGTTAGATTTATACCTAGATATTTCATTTTTTGGTGCAATGTAAATGGTGTTGTGTTTTTAATTTCAGGTTCCACTTATTCATTGCTTATATATAGAAAAGTGATTGCATTTTGTATATCTTGTGTCCTGAAAACTTGTTTTAGTTGCTTATTCATTCTTGGAGTATTTTTGTCAATTATTTTAGGTTTTCTATATAGATGATCATAAAGGGTATTACAATAGATACAGATGAAGAGATGTACAGGGTGAAGTATGGGAGATGGGGCACAGAGCTTCCATGCCCTGTCAGGGTGCACCACCCCCCAGGAACCTCCTCTACGTGTTCAGCTATTGGGAAGCTCCTCAAACCCAGTCCTTTTGGGTTTTTATGGAGGCTTCATTATGTTGTAGATATGATTGATTAAACCCATTGGCCATCAATGATCAACTTTAACCTTCATCCCCCTGCCCCTCCCCAGAGGTTGGGGGTTGGGACTAAAAGTCCAAACCCTCCAATCATGTCTCTTGTTCTTTCTTGTGACCAGAATGCATCCTGAAGCTACCTAGGGGCTGCCAGCTACCAGTTAACTCGTTAGCATACAGAGACATGTCTTTGGAGATTTTAAGGATTATAGGACTTCAATGGGGTGAAATCCAAATATATATTTTATATTATCATAATTACACTGATTGATTTTTTTTTTTTTTGAGACAGAGTCTCACTCTGTTGCCCAGAGTAGAGTGCCGTGGCATCAGCCTAGCTCACAGCAACCTCAAAC